GGGATACTGCCGGTCAAGAGCGGTTTCAGAGTCTTGGCGTGGCTTTCTACCGGGGTGCAGACTGCTGTGTTCTTGTTTATGATGTAAATGTCATGAAATCCTTTGACAACCTTAACCACTGGCGAGAAGAATTTCTTATTCAGGTAATTTATTTTAATCATCCTCTGGATTTTTTGTATCTCCATATCACCTTCAGTGAGAAACTCATACAAATATTTTATTTTCAGGCCAGTCCATCTGATCCTGAAAACTTCCCATTTGTTGTCTTGGGAAACAAAATAGATGTTGATGGTGGAAATAGCAGAGTTGTAAGTTACTTCTCTTCTCATTGCCTAAATTGCTTATGAACCTTCATAAAATTTATGTGTTCACTTATGTGGGATGAATACGCCTTCTGCTATAGTTGTGAGAAGATATGATTTAGGCTACCCATCTTTTTTTTTTAAGTATATCACATTGCGTTTGGTGGTTATTTCTACATGTATTCGTTCCTTAGAACCTCTTTTGTTGCAGATTTCTGAGAAGAAAGCCAAGGCATGGTGTGCTTCAAAGGGAAACATACCATACTTTGAGACCTCTGCAAAAGAAGGATTTAATGTTGAAGCTGCTTTCCAGTGCATAGCGAAAAATGCACTCAAGAATGAACCTGAAGAAGAAATGTGAGCATTCCTGAACTCTTTAAGTTTTCGTTATGCGTGTCATTATTAATCAATGATTTGGAATTTCTTATTTCTTAAAGTTCAAGTGTAAGCGGTGTTAAAAAAAGATGACCTGAACTGACCTGGTTGTGACTTGAACTATAAAAACTGATATGAACTATTTCTTAAAAAAGAAAAAGAAAAAAAGAGAGCTATTTCAGAACCGATTGAGCTAAAAAAAATTGAACCATTTTTATAAAGCGGTAAAAATTCTTGTTCTTTTAATTTTTCTCTTATTTATCATTGTAAAAATATAGGTCAATTCACTTCAAATAGTTCAGCTCGATTCAAAATACATTTTGATGTGAATTTGAGAAAACAATTTGCTGAATTAATAAAACAGTTCAGTTTGTCCGAACTGTTTTTCAGTTCTGTTTGGACGAAGTGTTTTTTCAGTTTAATTTAAATTTTTGAACACTGTAACAATGTGGGTTTATTCATCACAAAACTCAAGTGTTTTGTATGTTGGTTGTACCAGGTACCTGCCTGACACAATTGATGTTGGTGGTGGTGGACGACAGCAGAGATCTACTGGCTGTGAATGTTGAGTGGAGAGAGTTTTCTGGAATAGCTTTGTTTGCTTGTTTGATGCCAAATTACAAGCAATTATTAGCCAGCAACTATTTTATTAAATATGTAAAACCCAGGACGAATTCCAAATTTTATTTTGTATCTATCTAGTGGATTAGATGTCCATCCTGTTTATTTTTCTATTTATTCCTCTTTATCTTTTATGTCTTGTGACAAATGTTCCTCCAAATCAAGAAATGTATGTTGAAAATTATTCTGTTTTCGGTTATGACATTGATGTTCCTAGTTCAAGTATGGCTTAAATTTACTCCTTCTAGTTCCGAATTTTCTCAACAGTCAACACTTTATTATTGTGTAACTGAACCTTTATTTACTTTGGATTAAAGTAAGCTGTTACTTTCCCGTCAAAAGCTAATGTTCCTTACGTTTTTGTGTCATTTCCCTTTATTTTTTACTAAAGTAATACTATTAAGTTTTCTATTGATGTTATCGTTAAATTTTGATATGAAGTTGAGAATTGTATTTGAGCGCCAATTTATTAAAATGTGTTGATTCAGACAGGAGGAGGCAAGCAAAAAATAGTTTTCATTTTGCATCATTTGATGAAAATCACCACTTTCACAGTTTCATGATGAAAATTGGACCCTATGATAAAAAAAAACTAAATGGAGATTGATATTTCACTTGTTGAAAGCAGGCATGCAGACTTCAATTTGTGGTAAGAACATACATAATTAGAATCGTTCTCAACAGAATTGTTATGGGAAGTAGCTTGTGACACTTTACTGGTGAATAATAATGAAAGATGTTGGTAGACATCTTTTATGTGAGAAACATGAGTAAACCGTCTTTCAAGCACGAACAGGAATAAACATTTTTCACAATATCATATCTTACCTTGGATTCCATCAAATTTATAGAATCACTTACAAAAAAAATCAACCTTGCACATCATAATTAATGTATAAAGCTATGAGTGACATATCTTACAAAAATTGACACATATTTGGACAATTTCTTGCAAAGAAATTAGGGGGATTTAAGAGAAAAATAAGAGATAGACGGGGTAAGCTGAGAAAGTTTAAAACTAAAAAAAGTAAGCTATAATTTATCAAAATCCACTAGCAGTGGCGGTGAATTTAAACAAGACCATCATTTGTAAAAAGACCTATATTTATTCTTTAAATTATATATTAAATATCAAATATTATATACAAGAAGTTGACTTAGTGTTTATAAATTTAATTTTTGTCCATATTAATTTGATCAGCAAAAATCACATCTTATAAACACATTAATTCTTAATTGTCAATTTTTAGATACCGTATACAAACTATATTCATAGAAAAAAAAATTATACCGAGTACATTGTCGTAATATAGGGACATGTGTGATGTCTGATACATTACATATATAAGAAATAATAAATAAATTTTTGCTAATATAAAAAATAGAAAAAGATTACAAATTTTCATGATTTAATTTTAGAACTAGAAAATCACGTGTTGTAATCCCCACCTACCTTTTGACATTTTATTTTTCTTTTTGGTTTTCACCCTCCATCCTTTTTTAAAAGGTTCTCCTCTTGATTTTAAAATATAGAAGATGCCAAACCATGCAGGATATTCCTCCATTAGAAGTCTCAAAAGTGTTATAATGGATCACCTTTCATAAAAAAAACTTTCAAATTTCAACATTTTGTATAATTCCATTTCATTTGTGGAGGGAAAAAGGGGGGAATAACTACCAAGGTTGAGACTTCGTGAAACATTATAACATAAATCAAATCAAATTTTCTGCAAGTATTTATTTACGAAAAAATTTTAATTAATTAATTGATGAACTTTAACTTTTGTAAAAACTCTTTGATCTAGTTACTCTAAAAACTGTGGTGTATAAATTAATTTTAGTTTATGAAAAAAAAAAATATTTTCTTCTTAATTTCTTTTTACCTAGACAAATTTAAAGAGAAATTTACACTGTAATACTAAATTGTGTTTTCTGTTTTCTTAATTACTACTGATATGGAAAGCAACACAGATCGATAGTGCACATGTCCTTCAAAAAGAGAATAGCTAACAATACCATGAATATATCCTCTCTGTCGGAAAATAATTGTCAGTTTTAGATATTATACAAAAAGTAATAAATAAGAGACAATGATAATTTTACCAAATAAATCTTGTTTAATTTATAAAAAAAATAGACAAGAGAAAACCTTAATATTAAGGATATAAATGAATAAAACTTTAATTAATACCATCTTAAAAAGTTAAAATGACAAATATTTTGAGAAAAAATCTTTGAATTATTCTTTGAAAGAAAAGAGTACTCTTTTCAATTTTTTATTTTATTTTTTAATGGTATTTTTTTCAAAAAATCATAAGAGAGAATCATTAATTAGGCTGTGAATTTCTGATTTTTTTTTAATTTTAATAAATTTTACTTTATAAAAAAATGTGTCCAAAAGGATTTGTGAAAGAGTATGTATGTAATACTTTTCTTTGAAGAATAAATATGTTCAAAAGAATTTTAGAAAAATGAGTTATGAGTTAAATTCAACTTTATAAAATTGAATTAAATTGTAAAATGATGATTAATTTCTATTTATATATATTATTCTGATCATCTCACTAAGTGATGTAAAATTTTTAACACAAGGATTGAACATCTATAAATGATTTAATAACAGCTCGACAGTGAATAGTTTGATAAGTTTAATATCAATCAATAATTGCTAAAATAAATTCTAATATTTTAAGAAAATAAATAAAATATTTAATTTAATTTTATAAAATTAATTTACAAAATGATAATTATTTCCTATTTATATATTATTATGATAATCTCATTAACAGAAATAAATTGTCTAAAATAATCATTAATCAGGTAGTGTATTTTTAATAAATTTTAAAAAAATGAGTTGAAAAGAATAAGTAAGAGAGTATATATGGAACATTTCAGTTTGAAGAATAATTAAAATGAGAAGTCGAGCGACAGCAGATGGGCCATGATTGTTGTGGTTGAAAACCTGAGAAAGCCCAAGGCCCAAGATGGCCGAAGAGGTTGGAGATAACCGCCTCAACGGGTGTTATATCTTATATGCGATGGATTAAGGTTAACACAACTCAAAGGAAAACGTGATGGAGTCCACCAAAGAACAATCTGGAATGCTGCACCAGATCCTACCTCCGCGTCTAGAAGATGCTGGCCTCGAAGATCCCGCCCTCCCACCCGAATCCATACACCAAGCCTTTCTCCAGGCAGCCGCCGCCGTCAAGTCACGCGCCGCCACCATTTTATCCCTCACCGCCGACACCGACGAAGACCACGACCACGGTTGCGTCAACGACCCGTGGCCCACCGCCAAGGACGCCGCCGATGCGGTCGTCGGAATCGACTCGGAAAATGAACCGCAGCCGGGATCCTGCACCGTCGAGAGGGGAGTGGAGCCGGTCGCTGACGAGGTGAAGGTCGGCGGCGGCGGTGACGGCGCGCACGACGTGGTGGTGGAGGGAGGAGTGAAATTGGGGGAGGAGGATGTGGAACCGTGCGTGGATGAGTTGCAAGGGTTGGATATCAAAGATGATGTAAAGAAAGGTGGCGAAGATGATGAAGAAAACGAGAAACCTACCTTGGTTGAAGGCTATGCGTGAAAAGGGTGAATATTGAAATCTTTAGGCTTGTTGGGTTCCTTTTGTTTTGTTCTTTACCCTCTTGTACTAGTTTCTGTAATAGGCCTATACCTCTCTTTACGTTTGTTTCAATGTCAACAACTTTTCTTCAATGTTCATAATCAAGGTCTTTGGTTCAGATAATCAATTGAATTTTTGGTGTATAGTAACTCCGTTGATGTAAATAACTGTGATGAAACAGTAATCAATAAACTTTCATTTCCCTGGACATTAACACGGTCTTGGTGCATTGAAACGTTCATGTCATATAGTACCAACTGGGTAACGACACGATTCAATAGTAATTTAGATTAAAAAGAGGGAGGCAAACTATTTAATAGCTAAATTAAATATCAACTACTATAGTTAGTCACTAATCAATTTTCATTTGCAAAGGAGGTTGTAAATTGTTGTTTTAATTATTTATCATGTAACAGATGCAAATCTACCGGGGATAGATATTGGTTTTGGTGCTTTTGGGATAAACATTTATGAAGTTAAATAAATTACACCATCAAATGGTGGTGGTGTAAAAATTTCCTCTCTAAATTCTTGGATGACCCGAGGTCAGTCAACTTTCTCATGTGTTGGTGAGAGTGGTCAGTAACTTCTTCAACAATTCTATCAGTTGAAGGCATCAAATAGCACATCTCTATCGTCCTTTTGTATTATTACATATAGCTAGAAGTGGCTAATATGTTTTTATTTAGTTAATTGGAATCTGCCTTAGGGCTAGTTTTTTGTGTGTATGAAAAAAAATGTTTCAATCAGGATGCAGTTTGTGTATTATAATGCAGATGGCCATGCAATACTTTTGAGATTTTCCTTTCCTCAAATTTATAACGATAAACGTTGTATATGCTGCTGTTCACCTCACATCTGAAATCATTATAAATAAAATAAAAGTAGTTGATAAACATCTAAATACAGGCAACTTAATTAAAAAATTGTTACATTTAGTCAATTACCTGTCCTTTCAAACCATTCCAGATAATCTGGAGGTCCCTGCTTCAGGTTACTTTGATCACTCTACAGTCAGAAAATTCCCGGCTGAAACATCAGGTATATATTTCCAGATTCACGAAACTCCTGGTTAAAACTCACCACTCAAATTCACATTCACGAAAATAACTATCAGGATTGCATCGCCAACATAGTTATATTTTCGTTCACTCAATTCGTTTTAACCTCATAACGCATTCTTTCAATTGCATTAAATTCATTTAACCATGCACTCATTTTAAAAAAATTGAAGCAATTAAGAAAGCATTAGACTATCTAGCCTCATAACATTTTCTTAATAAAATATTATTCGAATTCTGGTATGAAATATGAAATAAATTATTCACGTTGTATGTGTTCATGATCTCCAACAAAAATTAATTTCAATAATACTTCCTAATAATACCATAATTAAAAATAAAAACTACAATATTTTTAAAATAATCTAACATATCATTTGGTGAGGGGAAGACTTTTTTGTTATATATCTGATAAACCTGTTGCATGTGCTTAACTGCAGCATATCAAGATTGATAATCTTATTAAGCTGTCATGATGAAGAACTAAATCATTGATTACAATAGATAAAGATAGATATTAAGAATCTCTCACAATAATTAATTTCCATGTCACTAAAATTATTAAACGATGGTAATGTAAATAATGCAGGGCAATGAGTCCTCCCCGGTAGTTCCATGATTAAACCAAGGGAGTTAACAGTGGCTTTCCTAGGAAATGAGCTTCGAGGTTTCCGAGGACAAGGTCAGCCATGTCAGTTCGAGTTTCTAGAGTGGCACTTCCAACATGAGGCAACAAGACAACATTTTCAAGGCCAAATAGCTCTTCGGGAACAGCAGGCTCATCTTCAAACACATCTAACCCAGCCCCACCCAAACGACCTTCTTGCAGTGCTGAAACCAACTCAGCCTCGTCAACGTGCTTACCTCGTCCGATGTTAATAAGAAAACCCTTGGGACCAAGTGCATTGATCACCTCCCTGTTGATGATGTGATGAGTTTCCTCCGTTAGTGGGCAAGCAACCACCAGTATGTCGCAGTTAGATGCTAATTCAACAACACTTGGGTAGTACTTGTAATTTGAGTCGCGTTTTTCAGTTCTAGAGTAGTAGCATATTGAACAGTTAAATCCTTCAGCTCTCTTGGCAATTGCTTGCCCAATTCTCCCTAGCCCAACAATGCCAACAGTTTTCCCAGAGAACTGGAAGGAAAATACACAAAGTAAAAATTAATTCTGATGTATAAAAACAGATTTTAATGAGCAGAATAATCATGATACAGGTAATTCCAAAAGATTGACAGATAATTAGTGACCAATTTTGAATTTGATTTTTCACTACCACTCTGGAACATGTGATAAAGAGCGAAGACAGGAAAGAGGGGTCATAGTAGAACACAGCCACGCTCACACTTCACATTAATTGTCCATTAAGGCACTGAACTACTGGTAGGACTTTTTCAATATAATTCTGACATAAGTAGTGACTAAGAGGTTCCTTGTATGTGCTCTTTGCAACAATTCTCTTCATAGCAAGACGGATCCAACTCTCTAATCAAATACAATACTCCATAAAACAGCAAATATACAATTGCAATTCTGCAAATCCAAATTCAGAACACTCCTCTTGAACATTACCAAAACCAAAACAAAAAATGTCTAAACTACTGTCATGATAAATCAGTTCCTATTCCCTACAAATAAGAATAGTATCAATCTCATTCCTTTCTAACTTTCTTGAGATTATCCATAAAAAAGGAGAGTCTCCATTTTAGGTTCATCATACATATTTCTATATCTAGCTATACTAAATTTTCATCACTTCTTTTCAAAGGTTTGAATACTTCACATACATGTTTCAGTAAATTATCACACGAAACAAATAAAAGTATAGGTGCTTCATAGGTTATACATAAGAAAGTCAACTGTAGATATCATCATACATGTATCAAGATATTAACCATCGATTGCGAAGAAATGATATCATTTCCCTAAATCTATTTGAATAATCTCCAAAAACACTTGTATTCGAAGAAAATAAAAATGAGAAATCAAAATTAACTAATCAATAAGCTAAAAGTTACCTAACAATCTTTCCAGACCAGAAGAAAATAGGAATGAAAAATAAAATACTGTTATATATAATTTAAAATTAGGTTGTTAATTTTTAATTATAGATAAGCTAATTTCATCTTTCGCCGTTATTTTCTTCTCCTATACAGAGAAGCTTATCCGGAGCGCTTAAACGCCAAAGCAAATTCTCTCCGTACAGTAACGAATCAGATAAATAAATAAAAAGAACACAAGGCAATGCATAACCAGCGAAAATATTCGTAACCTAATTGAATTAAGAGAATAATACTCGTGCTTGCAAAAGAAGAAGAGAAGGAAGGCAGAAGCAAATTCAAAAACAAAAGAATACATAACCGGAGAAAATATTGGTAATCAAATTGAATCAAGAGAATAACAGTGGTGCTCGCAAAAGAAGAGAAGAGAACTGAGAAGCGAACCTTAGTGGTCAACTTGTAGTCACCTTTCTTCCACTTGCCGCTTCTGACGTAGCGGTCGCACTCGCAGATCCGGCGGAGGAGCGCGAGCGTCAAGCCGATGGCGAGGTCGGCGACCTCGTCGGTGAGCACGTCCGGCGTGTTGGTCACGCGAATCCCCTTGGCCTTGCACTTTTCCAGGTCAATCATGTCCACTCCGACGCTGAAGCTCGAGACGATCTCCAGCTTCGGCAGCTCGTCGATGAGGTCGGCGTCGGCGCCGGCGCCGGCGTGTCCGACCACCGCGCGGATGGACGCGGCGTGCTGACTGAGAAGCTGCGCCTTCTGAGGGTAGTCCCATAAGCGGAACAGCTTGTAGCGCTTGTCGAGCTCTTGCTCGAGGTAGGGGAAGACCCTCCCCACCAGGAGCACCCCGATCGATCCCATTTCGCCGGAAAATTGAGGTTAGGGTTTTCTGCAACCGATTCCGCTTCCACAGCGTCTGAGTCACTCGATCGGAGTTCTCAATTTATGAAGGGATAGATAACATCACCGAATGCTCGCTCATTCGCATCGCTATTATTTCCTTAAGGGCCCCACTCCGATTCTCTGCAACTTAACGTGTATCCTTATTAATTGCATGACACAAATCACATTGCTTACTACTTATATAAACACCACCCTAACTATTAAATTAAAATAATACAATAAGGTATGGATAGTTCTATAGTTAGAATACTGAATAATGAGCCATGAGAAGAAAACAGCAATCAAAGAGAAAACTATATAATATAAAAGATTAACTATTATATTAAGAATACATTTATCTAATAAAATGGAAAATCATTAAAAAAATAATTGATTTTAATCATTTGTGCCAAGCTCAAACTTTTTTCTCGCATACAATCTATCACTTTATTTAGTTAAAAGAGAAAAATATATTTTTTAATTAAATAAATAACAAAATGTTAAACCATGTGGATCATGTGAGTTTTTTATTTTACAGTAATGTTTTCTCTACTCAATTATTTTTGTAATTATTGTTACAAGAATTTGTTATTTTAATTCAATGAATGATGAATGATTGGTCGTGTTCGTGTACAAAAATAACATGAATGGTCTGTTTCTTTCTTCTTCTTGGTAGATATGGATGGTCAATTATACCTTTTATTTATTTATTTTAATTAAATAATAATAATTCCCAATCTTTTATTCTACTATACAATGATACGCGTATATGTTATAACTTACTATATGTATTAAGAAATATTTGTTTAACTGAAAGAAATTGTGCCTCAAATGGTTCAATATTTTTTTCTTAATTAAGGACCGTGTTGAATACCAGCTTCGAAATAGAATGTCATTGGAATTTGAATCTATCTCTTTATCTTAAGATGAGTAACAGATAATTATATTTCTTAATTATATGTTAAAAAATAGTTTTATAGAAAAACAAAACCATACAGATAATGTGAATTTTTAACTTTTTTTTTATTCTATTATGTTACTAGTGAAAAAGAAATATTTTGTATGTCTATAAATTTTGTTTAAAAATAATAAAATAAAAATAAAAATAATAGAGATTACAACATATAAATCAAATAAAATAATATATAAAAATAAAAAATTTAAAATAATCTTAATAAAAATGAAGGTCAAAGATGATTAATACATACATA